ATGAACTGTGACTAAGCAAGGCAGATTTTACATAGCTGGGAATTCTGAGCTGTAGGTATGTGGGGATTTCACATGACTCATACTAGTGCGCCATAGGTTATTATGTTTACCTGTTTGTGATTCACAGTTGTGAGTTACACGATGCTATGATTTTCACACATGACTTAAATTATGAGTTATGGGTCTTGCTTGAGTGACACAAGTTGTGCACCTGACCACGTTATTATATTTTGATTGGTTTTGGGTTTGTTGTACAGTGACTCATAAGAGTCAGCTAACCAATTTTGCACGACTCATAGTTAATAGTTATAGTGTTTGTATGATGCGAGGTATGTGTCACGCCAGGTGAAGAGCAACTATATAAAGGGTCACTAGGATCCCGAGCATGAACTCTTCACATGTTTTTCTTGTTCATTTCCTACCTTTAAGTTTTACAATCAAACCTATCTTTAAGCTCTTTAAGATTTATCTTAAGAAACCTAAGAATTGTCTTTCCTCCCACAACAAAGAAGAGTAAGGGCTAATCAAGGACTTAAGAAGATTAAGGAATAGGCACAACAAGAGGTTAGAAGAACTTGGCTATCTACGTCGCGTAGGCAACAGCCTAAGAACTATCTGCTTACCTAAGTAAGAATCGTTACCTGTTGTACTCCACCTACAGCCAGTAGAATTCTTAACAGTTACGTGTATCTCATTGATATTTTATGATACGATTAGGGGGTTATGGCGTGCTTTTCTTATCTGGTATTCAGGTTTATTTCTTATATTTTATATATTACCATGTACAGTTATCAGTCATTTGATTTAGAATTATGTTCTAATTATCTATTTACACTACCTTAAAGTTAGCTATATTTTATAGGATTTCCTTGGCAGTTCTTTACGGTCAAAAATACACATTCACACTTACGTTTTTCCTATTTACATTATGGTCAAATAGGTCGGCACCCATGTTTTTCTATTATATATCCTCTTAGTCATGTGCAGGATACGCACCTGTATAAATAGGGGTTACCACCCATCTCGCTAAAGGGAATTAAGGACAAGAACTGCTCCTAATCTACCTTTATACCAAACTCCTCCTTGCTTAGGGTACCTGCAATATACTCATTCTACTGCATCATATTTTCATACAAAGTTATTAAGATAATATCCTACCTACAGGTTTGAATAGTGGTTGTCAATTTTCTTGCCTTTACCACTATTATGATACTGACTCATCACTAGGTGGTGACCTATAACAGCTCTAAATATATTAATAAATCATCATTTGTCTGTGAAAAGTCTGTAAACTGGGTAGTAAAGTAGTAAATATTGGTTGTTGATCAGCAAGGTAGAGGTTCAGCAAAAGACTTAGGGGGTGTGATATTTGTCACATCAAAGTTTGTAAGGTAATATCTTACAAACCACAGTTTCTAAGGTAAGGCAAATCACAGTTTGTAAGGTTCAGGTAACTGCAATTTGTAAGGTATCCCTTACCAAACACCTCTAAATTTCTATGATGGTATAAAAAAAATCCTTGTAACTCTTTAGACTTGTGTCCTAAATTGAATTTCAGATATAATTTTTCTCTCTTGATTTACTTTTGTCATACAATCTGTCTACCTCGAAATTGGAGATTGATCTTCTGGATCTCACTCTTTTACCTTTAAATAGTGAATCACAACGAGGCTAATCCAATAAATATATCATAAGTGGTTTAATTAGAGGCAAATTCAAGGTATTTATGTATTTTATAATATATCAACTATTGGGTTTGCTTGCAGTAGGGTTTTTTTCAAGCCCTGCTTTAAACCAGAGTCCATAAGGTACAAGACTTTTACCTTACAAACTTTGTGGAGCCAAACACATCCTACCATACAAGCTGTGGTTTGAGAGGTAATACCTTATAAACTGCAGTTCATAAGGTATTACTTTACAAACATGGTTGCCAAACACCCCCTTAATGTCATTGTTTTTCTTTTGCTGTAGTTACAAGAGCAATCCAGTTTTACTTTGGATTGGGTTTGCTTATCCTATAGACTATAATAGTATAGTGAGGGTGCCTGGATATGGAGGTACAGAGCATAAGTTTTGTAGGTTCCACAAACATGAGTATGCTACTTATAGTAGGGGTTGAGGACAGATTGGATATGGTTGCTTGGCAGTCTGGTAAGGTGAAATCTTTTCATGATGTTTTGTGTGGTAAGAGTTCATTAACAGATCTGCTTCTTACAATCAAACAGATACCATGACTCAATATTATGGATTTTATTAGGCCCCCTTACCAGTCTACTTCACACTCTACTGAATCATTTTTCCTCTTACAAGGCTAAGATGTCTACCACCCTACCAGCTACTGCCGAACAACTGGCCACAACCAAACCACTGGTTACCGCCAAACCACTCCCCACCCTGCTGACTACTCCATCAATGGTACCCCAGATGATGGCCTCAAGTACCCACCTCACCCGTGATCAGTGTCCTAATTGCAGACTTCTCCACTTCATTGGCTGGAAATACAGGGAAATTAAGAAAGAGACAAGATTCTCCCTCTAGAAGATTGGATATTCCTGCTCCCCTGTGTGCCTGGCTACTTCAACCAAATGACCTGGCCGGCCACTCATTCTCACCCAAGCGCAAATCAACTACCTTGTCAAATATGTCTGTATGTCAACCCAGAACTGACACTTCTCCTATTAGAAACTAGGTAAGGAGTGGGATTTGGATGTGGGAAGCAAAGCTATCCCAACTACTTTGATAAAGGAAGGTTTTTATTATCAGCTTATGCTAAGGAAACCTCCAATTTCGGAAAGAAATCTACATATCCTACCTCAATGGGTACAAGTGCATATTAATTAGATACAAGGGCAGTGGAACTCCATTCATTGGACTGATGAAACATGGAGTCCTGGTAGGTGGCATACCAGAACATAGGTTACCAGTAGGGCTGGTGAAGAATAGGATCCTACATATATTGCAGAAAAGCATCAAAGGAAGCAGGGCTGGATGGTTTAAGGCTATTTTCATGGTAACAGGCAAGGTCCAGGTATATTTTGGTAAAAGATTGGGGGTGGATCAATGCAAAAAGCTACTGTGCATACACAGTTCCCATAATTCATGGGTATATGGAACTGTGTTACCATGATAGGATTTATCTGAAGCTTATACAGAATGGTGCATTTGGACATGCTGTAGGAGATACAAGAATTGAGCTTCAGGAAAGAGGTATTGAGGTTATCTTCTGACCAGCTTTCTTACCTGACTTAAACTCTATTGAACGAGTATGGCATATTATGAAAAATTATCTATAGGATAATTCTCTAGAAAATATGTTATATGGGTACTGATATGCAAAAACTGGGCAAATCTATAACCGCAACAAATTTCCTTCAATGCATATCATACTTCTTAAACATAAATAGCATCATCTCAAGACCTTAAAAAATATTTGTCAGTTAAATTGGACTCTTTATAAGCTTTATAATTCATCAGATGGGTGCTGATATGTGAAAACTAGGTAAATCTACAACTGCAACAAATTTCCTTTAGTGCATATCATACTTCTTAAAGATAAAGAGCATCATCTGAAGAGCTTAAAAAATATTTGTCAGTTAAATTGGACTCTTTATAAGCTTTATGGTTCATCAGATCTAAAATTGTTATGGTTGTCATGCAAACTTCAAAGTATTATAACTCAAAACCAGGTTAAAGGTGTCTGCCCAGTTTTCGCATATCAACACCTATATGATAGATTGAGGGATGCGGTCAAGGAAGCTTGAGGAACTGTTGTAGAGCATGAATTCAGGGAGCCGGTAGAAAGCATGCCAGCAAGATGCCAGGCTGCAGTTGATGCCAAGGGGCTTTTTACAAAATATTAGATATCTCTATATATCGTACTTGTATATAGATCATAAGTACGAAATACTTCTCGTTCACCAGCCCGACATCGCTCCCATTCTTGACCGCTATACCTGATTTAGTATCCTCAACCCTGCAAGTTGCACACCCCTGCTCGTGGAACCTACAAAACTTATGCCCTGTACCTCGGTAGGAATGCCTCCCGTTACTGTTGTAATTTAGGTAATGAATTTATATATTTATCGGTGAGCTCTGAAATTCTTTCCACCAAAATCTCACCCGCTATCCCGGATCCCTCGCTGTACAGGAAAAATTCTTCGCATTTTGGCCGTCCGCGATAGCGAGGTGCGACTGTGCTCGAGTACTAGGTTTCTGGAGATTTTATTGTATTCTTCTGGCCCTTCCTTCCTTGGCCTCCATTTTATGACCCCATTTCTCACGGTGGGGGAAACTCCTTTCACAGGCCATCCCATCACTTGTGCTGCCTTTCAGTGGTTTATTCTAAGGCTGCCATCCTGAATCCCAGCGCTTGCTTATTTCACTGGAAATTACGTCCTCACATTCGACAAATAATCCTTGTCCCCCTGGATACTTGTATTGTACTATGAGCATCAAAGAATGCCTCGCCCAAACAGCGTGAGCCCTGATCCCGCCCCAACCCACAATGAGTTTGCCCTGTACCGGTCAGATGAATACCAATACCTTCTAACCGCGGCCTCCCAAGGATTCTTCGCCTCGCCAAGTACTAGTCCCAGGCCATAAGTACCCGAAAACGAGGGGGGTATAATACAAGGATATTTTGTATGGGCGCTCAGATACGCACGGATATTCTACCATATACTCGAGTACCGGTATTTCTTCAACCCTTGTTTTCGGATACTTATGGCCTGTAACAAGTACTCGAGTACAGTACCAGTAAATGCATGAACACCGTGTGCGCTAGTATAGCCCTGAATAAATGGTACACGCTACTGCGGTCTTTCTGTATTATAACCAGGGTACAGCACTTAAATCCCCCCCAGCCGCATCTCGCCCCCGATACCCCTCCACACTACACCTTAACTCGGACAACAATTCCAGGAATGAACACCGAACCCACGAGTGCCCTCCCCCGCATCCAGACCCATCCATATGTAATAATACCGCGGAAGGCACGCAACTTAAAAGAAAAACAACTTGACAGCGGCATAGCAAAAGACCATTACAAACAATATCTCAAGTTTGTGGGTCCTGACAAACGCTAACTCCCTGTCCTCGCCAATAGTGAGTATTCCCGTATCCCTTGGCGGAGGAGCCATGGCTGCACAAAAGCGATCAAGCTCGAGAATGAGCATTTCGTTGTTTCCGAAAATGGCTCTGGATTCTTGGATTATTTCTTTCCCGAATTTCAGCAAGACTTCGGAGAGAGAAGGAGCGGGGGAGAGTGACTGACCGGTTTTCTCCTCCACTGTCAAGGTTGACTGGATATCTGCTAGGGCATCCTTAAACCCTGATCTCAATAAATCCTCCTTCCCTTTAGGAACCTCAAAACTAAACAGATTTGTCCCAGCATCCTTACACTCCTCCTCAGTCATACCTCCCCGCCGGGGGAAAAACCCCTTGGCCTGAGAAATCTGGTACTTGAGAATTTTGCCACCAGCGAACAAGGCCATGTAGTAATTGTGCGCATAAGCAATCACCAAATGCGGTTTCTGGGAGAGAACTCGCTTGATGCGCAAGACATATTCTGCGCGGGCGGGCCACATGGGCTGGGTCAGGCGGTGGGCTCTCTGATCGGAAAAGTATTCTAGGTCCTTGACTAGCTGCGGTGTCCGCAACAGAGGCAGTGAGTAAAGATTTTGCAACGCGCTCTTGATTCTAGGTTCAGTGGTTGCCTCAGGCGAGATGGCAGCTATCCAGGCGTCTTCGAAAGCTTTGTAGACTTGGGCGAATGAGAGGATGCCTTCACGGTAAAGTTTATAGTCTACGTGGTATCAGCACACGCACAGCCTCCACTGAAGTACGCAGGTATGAAAGAGAAGGGCGGGGGAAGACAGACCCCGAAGACCTAATGAAAGTCTGCTCATGATCATAACGTTAATCTTATCATGTCCTTCACTACATGCACATGCCCTCCAGTCAGCAAATCCAGCTCAAGAACCGAGTACTCTCAAACAAACCGTGTAGCGGCGTTGATCTGTTGACACAAGCTCAAAGGTCCCTGAGTTTCCTTCTCGACCTGTGCATGGAAGTGTTGGTGGTGAGCCATGATAACAGACTAGCAAATACCGCGCGGAAGCTTAGTTGATTTGGTTGCAACGAAGATCCGCCTCAAAGAAGGTAGTACTTTAAGTCAAGGCCTAGAAAAGGTCACTAGTAGTAACTGTAGGATTAAAGAGAGGGGCAGGACGAGTGGCTCTAATCGTCGCAGATAAGAGAAGGACGTGGTGAATGAGAGTGTAAGTGGGCGGGTGAAATGTGGAGTGAAAAGGAGGGAAGGGGGGGGAGAGGGTGAAAAGGAAGGTGGCGAGAGAGGGGCAGAGGGGTGGAAAGACAGTCGGGAGAAGGAAGGAAGGAGGCACGGGGCGCGGAGACTCATACCCCCACTACTATCACCACAACCATCCCGGGCGTCGAGATAGAAGACAAAACCAGTGCCGGTAAAAGTGTCATCCATTCTCTTTCTTGAATTCCAGTGTCCCCGTTCCGGTGCTGTAACATATCGTATCGGTGGCTGAGTATCATCTTGCTACATTATACTCGCGAACCAAGTGGGGGAGTAGGGGAGCCTAGCCTGGACAGAGCGTTGTCGTTGTTGACGGTTTGATACTGCCGCTGTACCACCTAAGGGAGTGCGAGTACCGTAGCGTTATGAATTCTGCGCCGTCATCTCTCCGCATGTGGCCGGTGCGCGATAACTAACTGTGATAGGTACTGTCACGCGGCTGCCGGACCGCATTTCGTGCATGAGGTGTGACCTCGTTTGATGCTTTCCTCGACCCTCTCCCACAGTACTGTAGACTACGGTACCTTCCCGACCATAATCTCGTACCCACTATCTCCGGGCTGTGACGGATATCCCTGTAAATCGCGACATCAGCCTAAGATAGGTTTAGCTTGTCAAGCTAACAAGATCCAACCCAACCAAATGACCCAGGCTATACCGTGTCAGGAATAAACTAATCCTTCTTAAGAAATTTTGACTGAGAATCCGGAGATAAGGGGCTGTCGGAGATAGCGGATTTGACGAGATTATGGTACTCGTAAATTCCTAGTACCGCTGCAAGCACGAAAACCGCCTCTGCCAATAATAATATGTACCGTACGCTTACAGTACCCTCTGTCCCTTGTCGGCTATCGTTCATAGCCCTAAATTTAATTACCTTACCGGTGTGTCCTACCCAATAAATTATTCAGTCCCAACACGTGATCTGCCAAATTCCCCGTAACCATTCTCAATCTCACGTGTTAGGCCAGTCTCCCTTGGTCATACCCCTCTAAAACCCAATGATCTCTACATTCCTCCACCACCAACCTCCCATCACCTTTATCTTCGCAATTGCTAATGCATAGGGTAGCAATGGCACCACAAGGTCTCTTCGGTGGGCCCCCCTCTCCCGCTATCCCTCCAACCATTTAATATCAAAATGCTAAACCGTCCCAGCGGTCCAAAAACCCCAGGGCCTGACCTCCGCAGACGTAGTCCGGCATTTACAAGCCATCTTCCGCAATCACGCCTGGTTCAAGCCAGACCTCGCGGTACAGCAAAAAGTTCTAGACTCTCAATCTCGTAGCCAGCGCCAGCGACGTCGTAGGTCCCGCCAGGCCGAAGTCAAGTTGGGTCACGGGGGGACACTTGATCCTCTCGCTAGTATAACCTCCACCCAACGGTTCCCCTCAGGGGAAGAGAAAAAACTGGCTATACTAATAGTTGATGTGAAGCCGGAGTTCTAGTGATAGGCCTGGGCGCCGGTACAAAATCTTTGTCAACCTTCATCTCCTGCACAAAAACGTATGAAACAACAGCACTCTTTGGTGTTAGTACTGATACATACGATTGTACTGGCCGGATCCTCAAACATGCCCCCCATTCCCACATAACCCCTGAGCTTATCGACTCTGCGCTGGACGCCTTTCGCGGCGATATACTCCAGAAGCCGCCGATATACAGTGCGCTGCATCACGAGGGGAAACGGTACTACCAGTATGCGCGCGAGGGGAAGCCTCTGCCTATCGAGATCAAGGCAAGACCCGTGACGGTGCTTAGAATGGAATTGGCGGGTTTTGAGAAGGGAGGGCAGCATAAGTTCGGCTTTCCCGAGAAGGAAGGGAGTGTAGAGGAAAAGGTTGTTGGCGAGGTTATGCGTAAGATTGGGATGGAGGAATCTAAGAAGCGGAGACTAAAAGCGGAGGGGGAAGTACAGGATGAAGCCGGTGGGAGTAAGAAGGTTAAAGTGGACGGTACGCTCTTCAAACAGGCGGAAAAAACCATTCAAGAATCCATCACCACAGAATCCCGCCCCGACTCCCCCCCAATAGCATCCCTCCGCATGTCCGTCTCCTCCGGTTTCTACGTCCGCAGCCTAATCCACGAGTAACCCACCCACCCCCACCTGCTCCCTACACTACTAACTTTTTTGTTTTTCACAACAGTCTCGGAGAAGCCCTGGGCTCAGCAGCACACATGGTCCAACTTACCCGTATCCAACAAGGCGAATTCGAGCTAGGCAAAAATGTGATACCATGGGAAGACATGGCGAGCGAGGAGACGGCAAGGTGGGAGTCGCAACTGGAGGCGGCGCTGAAGGAGACGAGCGAGGAGGGGGCGTTTATTACCAGAGATGATGTAGAGCAAGATGGGGGAGAGGGGGATGGGGATGGGGAAGCGGAGAAGTCCAGTTAGTTGTATGAAAAATTTTCCGAATTTGATATAGGGTTCGGTTTGTAAGGTAGGATGCGTTTAGCTCCACAAAGGTTGTACGGTAGAGATATTGTACCTTATGAACTGCAGTTTGAATGTACATCAGCAAAAATTATTCCTGCATTAGAGGCATGGGCGGTGCATCCTGAGGCAAGCCAGGTGGATTCCGTGTTGAGTGTGTCCTGTGCATCAGGTCCTGGGACACCAAGTCTGGTGGTATCCTGTGCATTGTAGAGCTTATATTAGAAAGTACTACATGCAGATTGTATCCTAAGTAAGTGGTACTATGTAGTTACAGTTATCATTATGAGATTCCAAATGATAATTACAACTAGTAGTTACTCCCCCCTTACCATCCCTCAGCCAGCTTCTACTCTACCAAATACATCAGGAAAGATTTCAACTCGTATCCTGTACGTCCTGTGCGTCTGACGCACAGGATGCACAGGACGCAAACCGTTAATCAGGATGCACCAGCGCTGTCCCTGGCATCCGGACCCCTGATTCTGGGCCGCACCATATCTGGACGTTATCTGGACGCTGACCCCTGCGTGGCATGCATCCTGAAAACTGTCGCCATCTTGCCCATGCATCCTGGACACCCCTCTTTGGGTCCCAGTAGCATCCTGAGTCACCCCAATTCTTCCGCCTAGCATCCTGATGGACCTAGACTGCCCTTTGTCACGTCGGGAGATCCCTCCCGCTCTGATCCCGTCATGATCTCGTCAGGAGCTCGCGATCTATATCTCCCCCCTCCTGGTACCCTACAATCCAGGGCGTCGGCGTGCAGATGATATGACTTAACCCCGGATGTTGTGATGCGTTATGTTCTCCTCCAGATTATCTCGCGCCTGGCGCTCACGTCTGGACTTCTAGACTTACCCGGTGAGGTATTTAGCTTTGGTACAGGGGAAACTGGCCTGGTCGCGACACCTTCACAGTGAGCCTACCCTGACCATTTTGGAGTCCGGAATTCTACGCCAGGTTTGCGGCGCCTTTGGAATCCTGGGCGCACACTTCTTATAGAATCTGGACACTGTCCACTACAGTGCCCCCAATATGGAGATCTGCGCACATTTGACTCATGTTTATTCACTTGAACTCTACAGGGCCATCCCGGCTACGCTATTACATCTGGTGATGTTTACTAGCACCAATTTTCTCCCCCCCCCCTCGCGGCTTCTTGCCATAATCACTCAAACCCTTTCATTATGAACATGCTCTTTCTACATCTGTCACTCCCTATTCAGGCAATACCACGAGTCTCCCGGCCGGTACCCACATCCAGCCCCCTGTCACCATCTCCTAACAGATCACTAGCATCAAAATCGCCCCCTTGTACTGTCCCCACATCCTGTGAATCCTCCAGACTGAGTGAGAGCCGAGCGCTAAGGTGTCTGAAATCAATATTCTGGCTGTCTGTCGCTGAACGTTCCGTGACTTCAAGGGGATCCTCTTGACTTGTCAAGCCACAATTGAGAAACTCCAGTCCGTCACTATAGGGCGTCTGGCTGCTATCTGCAGTGTCATTCATACCCTACGACAAACCTCCGCTGCGCTGGAAGCCGAACTCGGGGATCATGGGCGAGTCAGTGAGTTCCGGGCTGCGGTGATAGGACTGACGCTGGGGGGAGTTCGATTTCCCGCATTCTAGTTCTGCCCTCACGGCGTGCCAGTCATCGTCATAGCCTTCCAGCCGATCCTGTTGGATGCCATAGTCTTGCTCCATCTTTTTCTCAATGGTTTGACGAAGGCTTTGTACAATCATCTCCTGGACTCTGATCGGACATTTACGCTAACTTTGTCTCTGCCGTTCAAACAGGTCTTATTAGTATTGTGACAAGGTAGCCAGATTCACAGCCGACGTACAACGGGAATAATATGTCCTCAGCGGCAACCAGCTCGGGCTTCAAGTCCCTCTACTTGATGTAGATCCCTGTTTGCCATGCCCTGAGGGTATGGCAAATTATCGCGGAAGTCAAGCAAATCATGGTGCCGTTGATTATATTGATGAAATTGGGGTCTACGAGACCTCGGATTTTCTTTCCGACAAAGTACTTACCATATATTGCGTTTGGAATCTGTGGAGCAAGGAATCGTAGATGCAGATCCTGTGTCCAGTTCATTGGGGGTCAGCCCTGATCAGTCCTCCAGGACGCTTAACCACAGGAGACAAACCTCGTACCCTTTCGGGTCGCACATGAATGTGTCATGTTTCAGGAGATGGTCCACCGTCCGTGCAGTAGCCCTGCGGTCTTCTGTGAGCCCATATAAATTTACTATATCATTCTTCACATGGTAGACAAACTGCGCTCGTACACCAATGAGTTTGTTGCGTATCTTTCACTATTAGTACCATACCTGATATCTTAACACGTCAAGCTGACTTTACTTACTATGATTAGGCTGTTCTCCGATAGCTCTATTTGCTCTACAGGGGGAATGGAATGCTGCCCCAGAGGCCAAACGTGGTGCACTCTAGACATTAATACAACCGGATTCGGGAGTGGGTCAACACAAAGAGTATAATTGAGAATTAGATCCTTTGCCAAGTCCAAGATAGTTCGTTCAAGACTCATGGCCTTATTTCGCCTCGTGCCAGTTCTGTTCCAGTACTTTTGATGACTAGCAGGACTTGAGCTTCTGACATCCGATGACTGTGCACTATGGCAGTCCAGGGGAGAGGAAAATGGTCCTAAACTTGATGATGGAAAGACAGGCGGGTTATAGGCACCACCGCGAATTATCTGCCTGGGAAGAGTTGGCGTCCGCTGAGAATCGTATGCAGGCTGTGAGCTAGCTCTGGTCGAAATACTCACAGTTTTCGCCCTGTTGCGGGCATAGCTTTTTGCTGCTTGTGTCACATGACGACGTCCTGATGTGGGTCCATCGGCGGTATCGAAGTCTGTATCTGGTTCGGTTTCGGCTGACTCCTGTGACACCTGATACTCTTCACTGCTATTGTCGGAACCTTGCACCATTTCCGCGTTTCCCTGGCCATCGGGTTTGGTTTTGTATTCAGTACGCAGCGTACTCTTGCTTGTAGTGATGCGCAGGCGCTTGGGTGGTCACGCAAATTGGCAAGCAATCGGCGTCGCAGAAGAACAACAACGGGACGGCTGGTCATTCGACCGTCAGGTAGGGGAGCTGTGAGCATTGTTTTGCTGGGATTTGGATCTTGATGTTGGTTTTGCAGATGCCGTGGCATCAGGCCCGACGTCACATTTACACCGAGATAGATTAGCAACACGGGGGGCCAGCTGACTGCGTGAATGTGCTTGTTCTTTTGGCATTTTTTAATGGACGCTTTGATATCGCAGAGAAGAAAAGATATGAAGAAAGACCAGATTTCTATTGTGAGCACAGAGAAGGTCTGGGGTTTGTTTGATTTTCTTGTATCCAGTGGGACGCGCCAGGTCTTATACACTACGGCTAAGGGGTGATTGGTATAATCACAGTCTATCACTCGGTATTGTTTCAAAATATTCTGCCACAAAATTACACCTTTCGGGGTTCAGCATGGTACTCATGATTGAATAATACTGTCCTACACTCGGCTGTCTTAGCACATGGTGAATCTTGAGTGAAAAAGCTATCATTCTACAATGTTGGGAGAAAATTGTCTACAAAATGTAATTTCGGGAATATTCAACCATATGTCTACAACAAAAACATAGCAGAGTATTCTCAAGTACTAGACTATCGTCGGACATCCCTAGTGTTGAGTGATATGAAATTGAAAGTTGAACCGAATCTAAAGCCACCATTCAAGCCAAATCTAGCCACAAACAGTAGAGTTACATGACAAGATGTGTTACTAGCCACTTAGGGCGCCTAGAAGGGACTAGGGGAAAGAATGTTTATGTCTAGGCGTGGAATTAGCGCGGCCGAACGTCGGTTCAAACATCCTAACAGGAAGCAATAGGCAAGATCAGGGTGCGGTGACTTGAGGCGAGGCCCCAAATATACTGGGACGGCAAGGTTCTAAGAATCGTAATTTTATTCTACGCAAGGGCAGCCATGAATATGAGATTTGCCAGCAAGGTGGGGGGTAGGAATACTAGGCACCCGACTGCAGGTCTGAGAGTAAGAATGCCTGATTTGAACATGGAAGTAGGATACATCTGATGAGTGGTAGTAGAGAAGAATACATGGTATAGATGCTGAAACAATGAAAATTGGGCATAACAGATGCCAGAGGCCCAACAACAATACAGGCAGGGTCCAATACTACTAGAAGATGTCAAAGCAAAAGAAAAAGCGCATATAGCAAGCCCGACAATAGGGGAGAAGTTTACAAGAGACCCAGCAAGACACAGAAGCAGGACTTTATCATGGGGGTGAGGGGCGTAGATCTATGGAATGTAGAACTAAATGACAAAAATGAAGTCGTCCACCTCAGTGCCAGACGTGGAAAACATCAGTACAGCAGCGCATCATCATGGAGACAACAGGCAGAGATCCCAGGGCTCCATGACCAAACAAAAAAGCTGCTAGTAGCATCCGCCTCGGTGCCAAATGCGAAAAAACAAGTATGCCTCCTTACAATCCCGAAGAAAACACCTCCGGTCTAAACTGCAAAGAGAACAAAATACTTTGGCACTAAACTAGAAAAAAAAAACCCCTCCATGCCAAATCCGAAAACAAAACACCTAAAGAAGAACCCCTCTTGGTACAACTGGAAAAAGGAAATTGGTATCATCCAAGACTGGAGTCTTATCAGTTGTAGACAATGTGACGTCGGGACCGGCTGCGCCTGTGGGACCGGCTGCGCCCACGGGGAGTCAAGGTCGGGTCGCATGAATCATGCTCTTTATCGTAGGGGGGCGTAGCATTGCCTTGGCCTTTTCCTTTGCGCTTGGGTGATTTGGAGGAATTCTGGTGTGCCTTTGGGGTGTGTGTTTCTCCAGCATCTGGGAGAGAAGTAGTAGCCAGCCCCGGGGGGGTAAGAGCAGGAGGCGGGGGAAGTGTTTCGGGCATGGGGGAGGGAGGAGCCAGAAACAAAGCATCAGGGAGTA